GGGGGGTTGTACATAGCATTAGTTCTACCTAATGCAACCACATGTCAGAGCACAGCACATTACTCTGATCTGTTTTCAGACTTCTTTATACCTTCTGCCCTCACCCCATGAAAACTGTTTATTCTAATTATCTCCCATAGGAAGTGAAGACTTGGAAGTCCTCAGTGCTAATGTTACGTAGAGGTTAAATTGGCCTATGTGGTAGGCTGGTGTTATTCTGTCTCTGATATTTAATTTGAAAGTATATTTGCTTGCCGTGTGTTTTCTGTTTACTTGGTGGATCAGTAAAGGTGGTTGGTGTATGTTAATTTGAGAATTTCTAATATGATATACTAGTTATATTCCTTGAGGAAGTAGCTCTGACTCCGTGTTTTCTCTCTGTATTTGCATCAACAGGAAGAAGGCAATATCAAAGAAATTGCAATCACACATCATGTAAAGGAAGGACATGAAAAGGCAGATCCTTCCCAATTTGAACTTTTAAAAGTATTAGGGCAGGGATCATTTGGAAAGGTAAGTCAAGAGTTTGAGCTTTTTAAAAAGTTGTTTTTTTGGAATCCCTGTATATTTCATATGGATGGGGAACAGAAATATTTTATGAAATACTTCCAATCTCCTTACAAGCAGTATTTTCTGTGTTTTTACATTTCTGACTCAATAAGTGTGGGAAAGTTAATAGTCATTAAAAAATATATTGCAAAATTTCATAAATTGGCAGTATTCACTTTATTCATTTTATCTTCAAGACCATATCGCCTCTCTAACTGCACTTCTTGAGTGATTAAAAATCACAAAATATTCTCTGGATGCACTGGCCTCTGAGTCCTTGTGTGGAATTGAAAGGCGGTCTTGCAGTGCATCTCGGTCTTTCCTCCACAATATCCGTAATACCAGCAGAAGTGAGTGGGTACTTCCAAGGAGCTAGTGTGTGTGTGTGTCGGGGGGTACCACTACAAGTATGAAACTTGGGGGACTTACAGTTTATCTTTAAAATGAATGCAAAAGTTGCCTTCTATCAATGATATCCATGTTTGTTTTTATTATCAAAAATATTTCCTAAAGCCACCAACTGAAAATTCCTCCAGCAGATGTAACATCTGTATCAGTTTTCTTCGAGTATTCCTTTTCCCCCTGCCACACACCTCAGGACCACTTCCTGTACTCCATTTTGAGAAGTACAGCATTGCAGTTACTACTGCTTGATCTGTCTAGTCCCTCTCTCAGCAAGAGGAAAATTCTGAGATCGCTTTCAACTTCCACATTGCAGGGCTTCCTTACCACCTCTCTGTGAGGAAACATTTGAAGATATGCTTTCCAAGCTTCAAAACAACACCAGTTTAAGCGCTCTTGTGTATTTTTATCAGACTAGTTAGCAATTCTTGGCTAACATAGGTAATCTGTTGTAGCCTTTAACCTCTTTCAAACCCAAAGTGATGCTTTAAATCCAAATATAGATTAGCCAGCAGAACATAATACTTGCAAGCTTAGGCTCTTGGTCAGCCAAACTCGGATTCAGTTTTTTTTTCCTCCTTTGCTATGTGTGCTTGAGCCAGTTACTTAACCTCTTGGAGCCCCCTATTTTTCTTCTAGTTAGTCATTTAGTATTAAAGTTCTTCAAGGTTCCATTCTAGGCTGCCTTCTCCTCACTGTGTACTCCCTACTAATTTCTCTATGCCCACAATCTTAATTATAACCATTATACGGCCGATGTAACAGATTTATACCTCTAATCCTTCAATTCCCCCTTTCCCTCTACACTCACCCACCACAGTCTGATCCACCAGCAATTCCTGTGGATTTAGTAGAGATTTCTCAAATCATGCCTGTCCTCTCCTGCTCCACAGCCACTCCTCTAGTCTGTCCACCATTTCTCCCTGAGCTCTTGAAGGTGGCTCCTAACTTGGGCTCCCAAAATTTATTCTTGCCTAAAGCCATTATTTACATGACAGCCAATATGAGCTAATTTTATATTCCACCCCCTTAACCCTTTAGTAACCTTCCTTTGCTTTTAGGATAAAGACAAATTGTGAAGATGGCTGAGGATCCCGTAGGTCTGGCCCCTGGCTACCTCAAAATCACTGTCTTGTGTTCTGGCCACATTGGCCCTTTTCAGTCCTTAAGTACCAGGCTCTATCCCACTGGAAAGCCTTTGCATGTGCTGTTCCCTTTGTCTGAAACACTTTGGCCCAGCCCCATGCCTTTCTCACCTGGTTAGTGCCTCTCCTGCTTATGGCCTCAAAGAAGTCTCCCCTGCCATCCTGACCAGGCCATATTCCTGTCTTATCCTCTCAGCATTATTTTCCTCATCTTCATAGCGCTCACCACAATTACAGTTTTCCATTTTCATAATTACTTGTTTATTGGTATCTCCCAAAAAAAACTATGTTCTGTGAGTGCAGGGGCCATGCCTTGTACCATGTCTCAGCATTGAACTGGTAGCACAGTACCTAGCATATAATTCTAGAAGGGAATTAATGAGTAAATAATAGTCGTGACCTCATAACATAGTAGTGAGAATTAAATGATATAAGGCCAAATACATAACATCTGCTATGAAATTATATTATGCAGTATATATGGATAAACCCAAAATAGAGGGGTTTATTTCTATACATCAGATTTTCAGGGAACACAATATTTAAGTTTCCCAGAGTTAGCACGCTTCTCCCTTTATGTCTTTAAATACCTTACTATAAATAGCAAACATTAAAAACAAGGCGTCTCCTTCCTTACTCATCTTAAAAAGCCAGTTCAAGCCAAGGAAACAGGGATGACCTGTCAGCCTAGAATAGCATCATGGGGGAGTTCAAAAGGTCAGAAATGCTCTGGTGGGGGAAGATCCGATGGCACCTGGGACTGCTGCTCCTGCTGTGCTTGACTGGTGACAGGCCAAAGAGACTAGATTAAGAGTGCCCTGAGCAGGAGCACAAAACTGGGTAGCTGGCTTGGTTCTTGTCCCAGTACCTCCACTGTAACACTAGGCAAATTATTTAACCTCCGTAATCCCTAGCTTGGGCAGCTATAAAACAGGCATTGCTTAGTGGGCTACCTCCCAAAATTATCGTGATGATACATTAAAAATGCTTGTGGCCAGGCGGGGCGTTTCTCAGTGGTTGAGCATCAACCTTTGATCCAGGAGATCGTGGTTCGATTCCCGGTCAGGGCACATGCCCGGGTTGTGGGCTTGATCCCCAGTTGGGGGCGTGCAGGTGGCAGTTGATCAATGATGACTTTCTCATCATTGATATTTCTGTCTCCCTCTCTCTTCCTCTCTCTGAAATCAATAAAGATATATTTTGGGGGTGGGATGGATGTGGGGTGGAGGGGATCAGTAGGGTTAAAAGGGGGACATCTGTAATGGTCTCAACAATAAAGAAACATTTAAAAAAAATGCTTGTGAAGGTCCCTTACAAACTGAGAAGTGCTGAAAAATGTTAAGAATGTGCTTTGAGCCCTGGCCGGGTGGCTCAGTTGGTTGGAGCATCGTCATATATGCCAAAAGGTTGCGGGTTCGATTCCCAGTCAGGGCAGATATCTGGATTAGGTTGCAGGTTCAATCCCAGTTCAGAGCGTGTACGGAAGGCAACTGATGTTTCTCACAGCAGTGTTTCTCTCTCTCTCTCTCTCTTTCTCTCTGTCTAAAAATCAATGAAAACATATCCTCGGGGGAGGATTAAAAAATAAATAAATACTTAAAAAAAAAAGTGCGCTTTCAGAGAAGGGTGAAAAAAGTTTGGAATCCACAAGGAGAATTTTTCTTGTACAGTGGCACAGAGAAGCTTGATTAGGGAGTCTTAAGAGTGAATAAATATAATTCCTAATTACCTCCACCCTAATTAGAATTTATTTCTGTTCATAAATACTAATCTCTGGTAACCTTTAACATTTGAACATCATTCCATCCTTAGGAACCACCTAAGAATGCTTTTCTTACCCTAGGTTGGCTCACTGCTAACTGGCTGGAAGGAACTAAAGGGTGGTGCATGGTGAAGGGGGTGAAGGGGAGTGGTTTGGGGAGAGGAACATACCCTCCATCAGGGTTTTTGTGCAAGTTCTGGTACTCCAGTTAAATTGAAGTCATTGCCCATTGCCTTTGGCACAATTTCTCAGAGTGAGGAACTCTGCGTTGCTCTAGAATCAGTTGAATGAATCTTTTTTTGTGCATGTGCTAATAGCCTAGCCTGCTAATGCAGATCATTGAGAGCTGACCCTAAATTAATTCTTAATTGTAACTGTCTCTTCTGCCCATCTGTGGCAGCTCAATAACACTGCTAGAAAAGAATGGGTAGGAGAAAAGAGTTCAAATTCTTGTCCATTTGCTGGTCTGTTTAAAAGTTTGATGGAAAAGATCATGAAACTTTTAGTGGTCAAAATGAGTAGAAGAGATTTATTGATAGTTTTGTATTATCCGCGTTCTAGCATAACCATGAACTATTTAGAACAGGCGTGATTGGTTTTGTATAAATCCCACACTATATGTCAAAAGGAGCTGAAAATATTTGGAAAATGAAGATGCTCAATAACATACCTAGAAATTGTGTTCTTCATATTTAGGTGTATGTGATCATTGATTTTTAAAAGGTAAGTTCTTACTAAGTTACATTAAATATTTGTGAATATGCTTCTTCAATGTAAGTGTTTTAAATTGTTCTGCCCAGCAATGAGAAATTTATGTGCGGTTTTTATATTTGGAAAAGACTATTCATCAGTAAATAATTATATCAACAGAAAACTGTGGTCAAGGGGAACTCCTATAAAACAATTTTTATAGAATCAGAAGAATTTTTGTTTTGTTAAAAAGCAGAACAATTACCACCTGTGTTATACTTTAAACATGTTAGACTTTTCACTAATTGCTACATAGTTTAAAGATTTTTGTTTCTGTCTTACATGTTACATGCTCTTTGGGATTTGGCAAGCAACAAAAGAGATATCAGAATCTTTCTAATAATAAATGATATAGCAGGGGTCTTATTTTAACTGGTATAGTTTGTGAAACTTTGTAAAACTTATTTTCTCTTACTTAAATACAGGTTTTCTTAGTCAAGAAAATCTCAGGCTCCGATGCTAGACAGCTTTATGCCATGAAAGTACTGAAGAAGGCCACATTGAAAGGTAAGTGCTGTTACTATTTGTAATGTTTGTGTAATATAAACAAACTAAAAGGTCTCAATAGACATCATGTGACTCCTAGGCACTTACATTCTGAATCTGTTCCTGTTACCACCTTTAAATTTAGACTTCCTTTAAGTGAATTTTTCAAATCTAGAAAATTTGTGAGATGCTGAGCAAACTACAAATTAAAAACAAATTGACAATACAAAACAATTTAGTCTTTCATACAATGAAAAATAGTATAAATACGAAATCAGGAAATGATTTGCCTCAAATATTATAAAATATTAATATAAGGAATTGACTAAAGGGTTCTTAATTAGCCAAATCTAGGACAATTTGAATATTTCAATAGTGATAGTGATAGATTATAACCCCACTGAATAAAATAAGAATCCATGAGTTAATCCGTGAATTAATTAATGAGGAACAAGGGGGAACACATCCTTACAGTTGAATTCCGACTCATAAGTAAAAGGAATGATTGAGTTAGGCATTCCTAAGAAGTAACATTACAACCTCCACCTAAAGGATTGGAGAATAAATTTTTTGCAAGAGAATAAATGAAATAACCTTTAGAAAAATGTCCCATTTTGCTGATAAAGAAATGCAAATTAAATAATGAGTTATCATTTCATATGATGGCAATATTGCAAAGCAGTTTTGCAATAAGTACAAAGAGCCATTATTGTTGCTAAATTAACCCGAGGAAATAATCTCAAAGAAGGCATTCATGCATTTGAAAATACTCATTGTAACATTATTTACAATATCGAGAATTTAGACATCAACACAAATATTGAAAAATAGAGGAATGTTTAGAAAATTATGGGATACCATTTAATAGGATATTATTTAAATGAAATATTTCAAATATAATCACAAAAACTTAATTAAAATATATAAGTGAACAATTATAACAGGTTTGGGTACTGTAAGTATGTAAAATTACATAGATATAAGTTATAGAAGAGAACATAGAAAAGTGAAAAATATTTGACTTATTGGAATTGTAGGCTGCTGGATAATTCTTGATATGTTCTTAAATTTAATTTTTATTTTTTATCAATGTAATATGTGTATAAAGTCTTATAAAATAGCAGCGCTTTACCTACCCTCCTCCCTATCCCAATTCTTGACTCCCAGAGACAGTGACTTTCACCTCTTTAGCCTCTGCTCCTGCCATTTCCCTCCGCATTGAGTACTCTTATATTGCAATTTTTTTGTTTTCATTTGGAGACATAACCTATTGACATCCTAACATGGAACATTAGTTCTCTTATACTACTACCCACACACAATTTCCCTCTTCATGTTTTGTTTTCACTGTTACAGCTTTATGACAGTTGTTCCTAACTGAGCCAAATGATATACAGGAATCACATTTCCTTCATATCTTTGGTGTATTAGATTTCCTTTTCTAAATTCTGTATCTACCTGTTTCTCAGTTTACTTTCTAGTTTTGGTGGAACACATCTTCTAGTAGCTACCTCAGAAAGGGTGAATGCATGGTAAATTTTTTGTAACCTTGCATGTCTCAAATGCATTTATTCTACCCCCTCACTTAATTTATAATTTGTCTGGGTGTAAAATTCTAGGTCAGAAGTAATTTTCCCTCAGATATTTGAAGGCATTGTTTCCATTGTCTTCTAGTTTCCTGTGTCACAATTATGAAGTTTATTGCCATTCTGACTCCCAGTCCTTTGTGTGCAAGCTGCTTTTCCTCTTTGGAAGCCTTTAGAATGAACCTACTCTTTATCCCTGGTGTTCTGAAATTTGTATAGTGGTTATTTTTATTGTGGGTTTTTAAAAATTCATCATACTAGATAGGGAATGTCTCTTTCGATTAAGAAATTCATTTCTTCAGTTTGGGGAAAGTATTCTAACCCTTCTATTGACCTTGTTGTTTCTATCATATTTTTTAACTTCCTATATTTTCCTTGTTCTCTAATTATTCCATTTTATAAAACGTTTTATTATGGTAAGTGTCAAACATTTAAAGAAAGAAACAAGAATATAGAGAACCCCCATGTACCTTTCTCTCTGCTTCAGTATTTTCAACTCATATTCATTCTTATTTTTTGTTTTATATTTTATTTTATCTTACTATTTTTAAAATTTATCTTTATTGTCGAAAATATTACAGTTGTCCCCCTTTTTCCCCCCATTAATCCCTTCCACCCTGCATCCACCCCACCGCCAGGCCTTCCCCATACCAATGTCTGTGTCCATAGGTTATGCATATAAGCATGTAAGTTCTTTGATTAACCTCTCCCCACCCTTTCCCCCACCCCTGCCTTCTGTCTGAGATCCCTCAGGCTGTTCCATGCTTCTGTGTCTCTGGATCTATTTTGTTCATCAATTTATTTTGTTCATTATATAATCTTTTTTATGTGTTCTGCCCCTTCCCCTCTTGATATTTTAAAGCAAATCCCAAACATTGTATAATTTCTTCCATAAATATTTTAGTATGTATCGCTAAGACATACTCTTAAAAAAAGTAATATAACTGTCATATACCTAAGAATTAATATATAGATATCCAGTGTTCACATTTCCAGTTGTCCCTATTATTATAATTCATTTTTCTTTTTGCAATTTGTTTGAATTGGGATCTATGTAAGGTCTATATTTTGCAATTGGTTTATATCTCTTTAAGTCTTTCAATCTATGATCTCTGTCTCCATTTCTTTTCTTTTTTTTAACTGTATCTGTTGAAAATACTGCTTC